TTAAGAAGAGGGTTTAGTTTAGTTTAGTACAATGGTCTCAAAAGTGTTCTCGGTTTCTGAGTGTTCTTTTATTTTAATGCAAAGATCGGTGGAAAGAGTTTAACTTCTTCTCACTTGTGTAGTTTCCTTTTGTTTCCAAGTGTGTTTATGCTTTGTAACCTTATTACTATATCTATAAAAAAATGATCACTTTTGTTGTCTTTTATTTCATTTTTGGCCCATTCAATATTCCAAAATGATCAATATAATGAAAATAAATTCAGTATTTATTTGGCACACATAAGTAGGAGGAAAACAAATTCCAAAACTCTGCCTCGTGATGTTTTTTCACAATTCTACATTAATCAAATGTTTGTTAAATGGTTAAACCAAGTGAAAGTGGTTCATGTTTGTATACAAAAAGAGTTTTTAGTCTTTTTTCTTACTTTAATTTTGTTCTTTTAGGTGACGTTTTGTCTATTTTCCAACGGTTAGATTTATATTATTTGAGAAGTCGCTTTTGTGATCTCTAGTCCTTGGTAGCATCCGTGACTCTACTTTGACCATTTTCATCCACTATACCGGATTTATTCGAACCGGTTAAGACAAAAATGTTTATACCTCGCAGTGCATGAACAAAAAAAGAAGAAAGATTCAAATTTGTCTACGAGTAAGGGAGAACAAATATCTGCTTTATTCTAGAAACACATGAGATGGAAAAGAAAAAAAGCTAGAAAGCAGTGATTATTACCCATCAAAAGAAGTAGGTCCAACTTATACTTTTTATATAACCTTTAACCCTTTTAATTAACACGAGTCATGACTAGCTTTACATCATTGTATTTTATTTTTAGCCATTCAAAGTCCCTAAATATTAGATTGTATTGATCACCATCATCTCTGAGTTGGTTTCAACTTATTATATCAACCACTTAGAAAATAGAAAGTCTCTCCTTTTATACTATCGACCTTACCCGATGCAGCGAAATTCAGACCAAACCGGTTTACGCAAAGTCCTTCCTCATTGAACCGGACAATGTACACCATTTCCAGGATCTACCATCTTATATTGGATTCTTCTTTAGGCCCAATAACAGTGTGCTGGGCTCGATCAGTTACACATCAAAAGACAGCGTCCCGTTTCTTTATACATAAAACTACAACGCGTTAGTGTTTATTATAATGAAACGTCAAGTAGTTTTATTCGATAGTATCCGATGATGATAGGGTTCAACCACGATGGCCTCTGATACAAAAATGGCGGTGATGATTTCGACGAATGCTTTTGTGAACTTCTTTGATGGAAGTCGGAATTTTTGTTGGAAACCGGTTTTTCCTCATGTGTTGTATAATGGCGATCGATTCCTGCGTCTTAATCCGAAGAGATCGAAGAAGACAAAGGTAATGTTTTGCTTGAATTTGAACACGAAGGAGGTTGGGTTGGGAAATTCTGGTGATGGAGGTTTTGAATTCAAACCCAGTTTTGATCGGTACCTACAAATCATGGAATCGGTTAAAACAGCGAGGAAGAATAAGAAATTCGATAGATTGCTTAAA